TCGTTTGTGGCAGCCCTAGCCACCACTGAGAAAAAATAATCCATAACATGAAAACTGACGCTGTACAAAATCAAGACACAGCTGCTTCATTGTCTTAAATATCTGTTCAAAATCCAATGAAATCAAATTTTTTGAAGAATTCTAGAGCAAAACATCCATTTCAGCTTCAAAGAGTTTGTCTTCCTGTCTTATTATAATGTGCACTCCCTAGCGTTGATTTCAAACGCTACAAAAAGGAGGCAGGCAGTTTGACAGGACTAATTCCTCCCTCCACAACCTCGTCTGTCTGTTTAGTCAGAAGGTTACGACCGCAGTCTTAAGACACCACGGCAGTCTGTTTCAGACATTTACATCCACACTGCCCTCCATGATTGGTAGTCCAACATGTCCTGGAAAACTGTCAGTTTATGACGAGCTGGAAGCGACAAACGAGACAAAGAAACGACAAACATAGCAGGAGCTGAAGAGCTCTACAGTGACCTACGCTGACCTTAATCCAACAAGAACAAGAGCTGAAAACCTCAAAATCAAAAGACGGGCCGCAGGAGCACCGTGCAACTCAAACACCCGCCGAGAAGTGTAAGAGTCACATCATGTTTTAGCATTTCTATTAAATATGTACTAAGACATCATTTATGGGAGATTATTTGGTGCCAATAATAAGCTTGTGCAGAAACAGACGCTTAAGGAAAGTAAAGTGATTTTAATTCTAGATTTCAAACACTTCCTTCAGGTCGTCGCGTACCTGCCGTGTCCTGTATGAAGTCAGCCAGTATATTTGCCGCCTTGTTGATCTCCTTACAGATCTGTATTTGAGAAGACACCTGTCACTGCTTTATTCTTCTCAAAAATCATTGTTGTGCACATCGTGGGTTCGTCTCTGTCGCCCTCACCTGTCCCTTGATGACCAGCTTGACAGTAAGCGTGATGAAGTCGGTGAAGAGCTTCTTCAGCCAGTTCGGCCTGACCACAAAAATGTTGACAGTCAGACACTGAGATTCATGCAGATGCTTCATTCCCACTTCTGTTACTTACTCTTTGTCTCCCTGCAGGTGCAGACGCAGCTTGTGAAAGTTCAAGTAACAGTCTGTTGTGTCTGCTGCTACCTTTCCATCACCGCAGTCTGACGGGGACACACAGGTGACAGAGGATAGCCAGTCAGTGTTTATATGATGCTTCATCGTGTTGCTGGAACAAAAGAGACTGCCACATGCTACACTAGCAGCCACATTTTAAGATGATGATGATGACATCAAACTTTCACTGTATTATTATTATTATTATAAAATACACAGACGTGGTTGCTCTTGTGAGTTACTGCAGTTTTCTGTGGAGGAAAAAGTAAAATGCTACTAATAACACAGTGTGAAATACAATATAGATGTAAAGTATTAATGGAAAACAAACATAAGGCCGACAAGCTGCAACACAAACGACACACGTTAAATCCCTGCAATATTTGTGCAGCGGCGCAGTTAGACTGAGTTTGTACTTCACACAATTTTATTTTATAATTCAAGTATTTATTAGATTTTGCATTTTATAACAGCAAATACAAAGATGCAGCATCCAAAAGCAAGAAGCAAACAAAACAAAAACAAACAAAACAAAACAAAAAACAAAACAAAAACAAAACAAAACAAAAACAGTGAGGTTTTAACAGATGTTGTATTAAGCTCAAATGTCCAAGTCAGGTAGACATGTAGGTGCAAAAATTGTCCCACTGTTCCACCGCAGCTTCCGTCACATGATGTATTTTTCCCAGCATCTTTTCGCATGCAACATTCCCAATCATTCTGTCTTTCCACATTTTAAGCGTTGGAGTATGGGAGTCCTTCCAGTGTTCCAAAATGACACGGGCACATGTTACCAATGCAGTACTTAACACTCTAAACTGGTGTTTATTTAATTGCGGCACCTCTCCTTTGTCTCCTAGTAGACATAATTTAGGTGATCTGGGTAGTTACAAAGTGTCCACCCCTGCAAATAATTCAGTACAGTGTTCCAAACTGGAAAACTAGCGGGCATTCCCAGAGGGCATGTATCAGAGTACCTTTGGCTTATTGGCATTTCCAACACAAGTCATCTCTACCAATCCCCATTCATACAGCCTTGAAGGAGTATAATAGTATCTGTTAAGAATTTTGTATTGAATAAATTCCCCCCTGGCTTCCCTAATGTTTAATCCATTGTTCGACAATATAGAATCCCATGTACCTTCATCCATTGTACGCCCTAGATCCCTTTCCCGTGCTTTCTTCACACAATTAACCTCTTCAAAAAATAACTAAAGCTTTCACCACCAGGGGGCAGCCTTTTGCTAGATTTTTAGTTTTGGTGTAGCTGTCCAAGATACCAGGGCATGCGTCTGCTGTGCCTTCATGGGTTTCTTCCCATACTAAAGGCACACGTTTGTTTAAGTGGAAGTAATATTACATGTTAGAAAGTAGACCCTGCTTGTGTCAGACTGGATCTCCTTTCACCATCAGAGCTGCCAGTACCTTCAAAAAGATCCTGGAAACGTTCACTTGGTCCATGCGGACAGTTACTGCACATCCGAGATGATAATCTCCCATCCCACCACATCCCAAAGGTGCTCTTCAGGACTGAGACCAGGTGACCGTGGAGGCCGTCTGAGTAGAGTGAAGTCATCATCATGTTTATTAAGAAACCAGTGTGCGATTATTTCAGCTTTGTGATGTGACATGGTGCGTTTTCCTTCTGGAAGCAGGCGTCAGCAGATGGCTGCACTGTGACGGGCACGGTCAGCAGGAACACTCAGGTAACCAACATGTGCCATTACAGCAACAGCACCACAAGCCTGAATCACTGATGCAAGGCAGGATGGATCCATGTGGTTTATGGCAAATTCTGACACCGACATCTGAACGTTGCAGGAGAAATGGAGGTTCCAGTCTTCTGTTGTCTAGTTTAGGTGAGCCTGTATGAACTGTCCCCTCAGTTTCCTGTTCTTAGCTGACAGGAAGGCATCCAGTGTGGTCTTCTGCTGCTGTAGCACATCTGCTTCAGGTTCAAAGAGGCTCTTCTGCACAGCTTGGTTGTAACAAGTGGTTGGAACTTGTAACAACTGCTGGCAGCAGTTGTTACAAGTTCAAAGCAGGCTCGCCATTCTCCTCTGACCTCTCATTTTTTTGTTTTACTAAACCTTAACAATCCACTGATCATTGTATGTTTTTATGATCAGTCCTGATACATTCTTAAAGCTTTGAATACATTAATGGAGCTAGAAGATAAAGCATCAAAAAATGGAAAAAACTACCACGATGAATGTGGAACAAAACACAAACCTAACCCAGGAATGGTGACTGCTGATGGGGGTGGCTTGTTGAGAGGTCAAACAAACTGGTACATGATGTACTTACAAAGTTTGGGGTTGATTCCAAGATCAATCTGAGAGTCAATCTCAAAGTCAACTGAATGTCCGAAGTTAACACTAAAGAAAAAGAAAAATACAAATGAGAGAAAGGTCAAAGATCACAGGAAACAGGAGGGATTACTAATCCTCCCCGCCTGAGAATTAGTAATCACCCAGTCGCTGAAAATAATGTAATTCAACTAAAAAATGTTTAAAAACACCCACAAAATGCACAAAAGTCCATCTATCTGTGCTAAAAACAAAGGATTAGTGCAGTGGTTTTGCAAAGGTTAACTAAAAGTTTTTCCCGTCAGACTCAAACTGCAGCAAAGCTATCCTAGCTAGTCCTAGCTGTTTAAACTCTGTGTCAAAGTTTAAAATACAACTTAAAAAACAACCAAACAAAGAAAAACTGCTAGACTTTCAGTCATTGTTGAACTGAATCATTTCTAAAGCCCTGAAAACAAAATGACATCAGATCGCTGCTGTGATCACATCAATGAGAAATAATCATCGATTCCAAAGTGAAGACTCATTCGTTCAAATTGGAAGTTTTGGGCGCGTTGGAGTATGAAGAGCATTAGCATGAAAGAAAGTCGGTCTCCATAGAGACCCGTGTTAAAACTATAACCTGTTTTGAGCAAAACCAGGGCTGCTGTCTAATGCGAACGTGGATTTGATTTTTTATGGTTTCAATTAGCTTGTTGCTTCTCTGATCTTGTTTTAAAGGTAACAATTGTACAGCATGTGGCTAAACTACAACCAAACACAACTGCGTCACAGTCCAGTATCCACACTTCTCATCAGACAAACAGTAAGATGATTCAGCGAGGTGATGTGCAGTAGTCTCTAAGAATCTGTAGATCAGATTATATGGTGGTGTGTGTGTGTACAAAGTGCCACTGTCGGTCACACATACTCACAGCCAGTTGCCGTATCCATACTGGATGGTGCCCTTGAACACTGCAGACACATTGCTTATCTCCATGGCGATGCCTTCACCTGGATGCAGCTCAAACGCGCTCTGACCAATCGACAGGTTGTGAATCTCCAAACTGGACGGTGAAGGACGGACACGCTTTTACACCACAGGTGTCACATATATGTTTATAGTGTGCGCGCATGCGTGCGTCTACTCACTTGTCCAGGCCGTACGTGACCTTTCCGATGAAGAGCAGGGACTTCTCCCCCTTCGTGCTCGGGTATCGGGCGTGTTGAAAAGCAGCCTCGATCACTTTGGTGGTTTTCTCATTCACTGCAAAGATAAAAGCACGTGCTGTGTTGTGATCTGTGGTGACCTAATCTGACAGATGAGCCGACGTGAATACATCCCATTAAGTAAAACTTTCAGAACTGGGTGAAAACACATCTTATTTTCCATTTAAATGTTTGCATCTTTTTGTTTATTAGCACCAAATTGCAAAACATCAGTGAGGAGAAAAGAAACTTTAACACAACCAGACGGAGGTTTGTGGCAGACAGATGTGACGTGACCTTCACGTGATGACCAACTGGATGAAATTCATGTTAAAGCTGAGAAAGTTTGCTGCTATTTCACTGCAAACTGGGAAAACTATCCGGAAACTTCACTGAATGCATGTGTTTGAATAAAATCGTCACTCTGTTCCTGCTCTTTGGTTCCAGAAAGTCGCTGCTTGAGTGGATGATTAGATAAAATCAATAAACGGAGTCAAATAAATACCAGGAAAAAAAAAGCATCCAAACCAGACTCACGCACGACAGCAGCGGGGTAGGTGAGCCTGCACACAGCTCCGGTGAATCTGTAGGCTGAAGCGGGGTCCTGCAGGCAGCAGTGGGATGTCCCGAAGCAGGACAGCAACGACAGCAGCAGCAGCGGGACTTTGCCGGGCATCGTGCACGAGGTGGTTTTCCCTCTCTGAGAACTGGCTGAGGTGTCAAACCTGTGGACGGTTCTGTCGGAGCACAGCAGGTGAATCCCGGTTCCCTCGGTTCTGGCTTTACTAACGGATCATCAGGAACATGGAAAACTGCTCCTGATATCTGTGCTGACAGAGAAAGACAAGTCTTGTGCTTCAGACTCGTTGAAAGGACAAACACTGACTCAGGTCCGTCCCCGTTAAAGTAAACTGATCAAAGTCCAACCTGTCCTATCACCTCAGGTATGAGCACAGACTCTGGAGTTTTGAACTCTTCAGCAGGACAAAGAATGCATCCCTTTCTTTTCAAACAGTGACAAAACAAGAAGCAGAAGGCAACACTGCCTGCATACGTACCCCACAAAGACGCCTTAAAAGTGAGCAAAAGGACGCGGAGCCTCTGATTCCAGCCTTTCCTCCTCTCATCAGGGGACTAACATTCAGGGCAGCGTTCCTGAATAAATGCAGGGTCACAATGAAACAGGAGCTCCCTGTAAGAGGAGACGAAAGGGGAGGTACAGCTGACGGAGCCTGGACGTAACAACAAAGGGGGCACTGATCTAGCTGGGCCTTAACAGGAATCAATAAGTGTGGGTGTTTCATGTGTGATGACATCAGCTGACTTTATTGATTGGTTCTTCCACTCTAAAAACACGAGTGTGAGACGAGAGGCTGTGGGAGGCACAAGTTCACCAAACCTGGACAAAGGCAGCTCGCTCTCAGCTGCTGCAGATGATTGGTCCGGTGACACGAAGCTGCTTATTGCTCTGATCCTGAAAGGTTCTCCACACTGCAGGTACTCC